TCAAGTTAGCAATGAAAGTATGAATCGTGCTATGAAAGTACTAAAGGATAAACACATTATAAAAGAATCTGAGGGTGCATTAATTATTGATTTGAGTCAGTATAAAATGGATGTTGCTGTTGTACAAAAGAATGACGGCACCACGTTATATATTACTAGAGATATTGGGGCTGCTATGGAAAGATATGAGAAGTATAAATTTGATGCAATGTATTATATTGTTGCTTCTCAGCAGGATTTACATTTAAAACAGCTCTTTAAGGTATTGGAATTAATGGGCATGGAGTGGGTAGATCGATGTAAACATATCAATTTTGGTATGGTTAATGGGATGAGTACTCGTAAAGGAACTGCAGTTTTCTTGGATGATATCTTGGACCAAACCAAAGAATCGATGCATGAAGTGATGAGGCAAAATGAAAAAAAATATTCACAAATTGACAATCCTGATCAAGTAGCGGATATAATTGGTATTTCCGCTGTAATGATTCAGGACATGTCTGCTAAAAGGTAGTTTTGTGTAATTTTTATTTTATTTTATTTTTTTTTGTTTGTATGTAAATTAAATTGTAATTCTGTCTTTAACATATAGAATTCGTAATTACGCTTTCAATTGGAATCGCATGTTTTCCTTTGAGGGTATGGCATCATTAAGATTTTCATATGAACAATTATGCGTGATGTCATTTTACTAAAGGCGTTTCCGATGTCATTTTGTAGGGGATACTGGACCTTATCTTCAATATGCACACGCTCGTCTTTGTTCAATTGAAAGAAACTGCGGATTTGAAATTAATCCCAACATTGATATTAGTCTACTTTCAACAAAACCGGCATTGGACCTTATTGATACTATTGCACAATATCCTGATTTTGTCAAAGCGGCGTTATACACATTGGAACCTTGTACGATTGTGACATATGCAATGAAACTAAGTCACACTGTATCTGTAGCTTTAGAAACTCTGTGGGTTGTTGGACAAGAACGTAAAGTAGCAGAAGCTAGATTATTAATGTATTGGGCTAGTCGAATAACGCTTGGAAACGCCCTTAAATTATTGGGATTAAAACCTTTAGAGAGAATGTAAACTTAATATTTAAAATATTACAAAAAAAAAAAAAAATTTAATCATGATCGCCTGGTCAAAAATGCGTAAACACTTTTTTTTGTGAATTTTTAAGAGGATTTGAATTATTCCGCGGCTTTGAATTGAGCATATTTTTTTAGCCTTTGCATGTCCCACATTAAACTGCGGTCCACACCAGAATCGTCTTAGGCAATAGGGCAATGACGAATTTCTTGTAAATCGTTTTTTCATACAATATTATGTTAATTTTATATTATACTTTAAAAAAAAAATTTCTGCGGTATACTGCGGTAAGATCCGACATAACTGCGGCTGAGTGATTATAAAAGATCGGATGATTTCAATGAAAAATTTCCTGTTGAGCAGGAATTCTCGCAATAAACGGACTTTGAGAATTTTTTATTTCCCTCCAGGATCCCATCCATCCTCTTTTTATTTCTTTGATTAATTCTTTTATCGATTTATAAACGAAAAAATGGTATGTTAATACATTAATGACTTCTTTTTATTATGTTACATAACAAAATTTTAAACATTTGAACATTGAAGTATTCGTTCTATGAGAAGGAAAGTTATGTATCATCGCACTGATTTTCTTCTTTATATTACTTTGTTTTTGTAAATACATAATAGGTGAACTTTACAGTCGACCAGATTCGTGGTCTTGTATGTATAAATCTATATTAAAAAACATATATATATTTCTTCATGAATTAGATACATTATTGATTTTGTCATGAAAATTAATCGTTGAAAACGTTCTTATTTGTAAAATTATAATAATGAATTAGATGGACCGCGTTTCCAACGTGCGTAATATGTCCGTTATTGCACACGTCGACCACGGAAAATCTACGCTCACCGATTCGCTTGTATCCAAGGCCGGTATTATTTCTTCACAGAAAGCTGGCGAAGCACGTTTCACAGATACTCGTGCTGACGAACAGGAACGTTGTATCACGATTAAATCTACAGCCATTTCAATGTATTTTGAATTGCCAAAAGATGATCTAGTAGATGTAAAGCAAAAGACTGATGGTATCATCAATCAATTCACTTTATTTTTCTCGTGATTTACTAAACCTCAACGTTCCTTAATCATTTTATTTTTATATATATTTGTTATGATCATTTAATCAGGCAACGAATTCTTGATTAATTTGATTGATTCTCCTGGACACGTGGACTTTTCATCTGAAGTAACAGCTGCTCTTCGAGTTACTGACGGTGCCTTGGTTGTTGTTGATTGTATTGAGGGTGTTTGTGTACAAACAGAAACCGTGTTACGTCAAGCCCTTACTGAACGAATCAAGCCCGTAGTAATTATTAACAAAGTCGATCGTGCCCTGCTAGAATTACAACTTACCAAAGAAGATTTGTATACAGTATGTGTAAAATTTAGATATAATTTTGTTGTAATTTAAGTAAAAATGTTTTAGTAATTTATTTTAAATATTTTAGTCCTTCCAACGTACAATTGAATCGGTAAATGTCATCGTTTCAACTTATTTCGACCAAAGTCTTGGGGAAATTCAAGTTTATCCTGAAAAGGGTACTGTCGCTTTTGGATCCGGACTTCATGGTTGGGGGTTTACCCTTCGTCAGTTTGCCAAACGATATTCTAAAAAATTCGGTGTTGACCAAGATAAAATGATGCAAAAACTTTGGGGTGAAAACTTTTTCAATCCTAAAACAAAGAAATGGACCAAGCAGGCTGGTGACAACACTGAACGAGCTTTCTGCATGTTCGTCTTGGACCCTATCTTTAAATTGTTTGATGCCATTATGAACTTTAAGAAAGATGAAGCTGCCAAGATGATCGAAAAATTGGAAATTACCTTAAAAAGTGAAGAAAGAGAATTGGAAGGAAAAGCCCTTCTTAAGGTCGTAATGCGAAAATTCTTACCTGCCTCAGACGCTTTACTAGAAATGATAGTAATCCACCTTCCATCACCTGTAACCGCACAAAAGTATCGAGCTGAAATGTTATACGAGGGTCCTGCTGACGATGAATGTGCCATCGGTATTCGTGACTGTGATCCCCATGCACCACTTATGTTGTACATATCTAAAATGGTACCGACATCTGATAAAGGTCGTTTCTATGCTTTTGGACGTGTATTCTCTGGTACTGTTAGATCTGGTCTTAAAGTTCGTATCCAAGGTCCTAACTATCTACCCGGTAAAAAGGATGATTTGTTCGTCAAATCTATTCAACGTACAATTCTTATGATGGGCCGTTATGTTGAACCTATCGAAGATTGTCCTGCCGGTAACATCGTTGGTCTTGTTGGTGTAGATCAATATTTACTCAAATCTGGTACTATTACCACTTCGGATTCTGCTCATAATTTGAAGGTCATGAAGTTTTCAGTGTCACCTGTCGTTAAAATAGCTGTTGACGTAAAGAATGCAAACGACTTACCTAAATTAGTTGAAGGATTAAAACGTTTATCTAAATCAGATCCTTGTGTGCAAGTTAGTACTTCTGAATCCGGTGAGCATATTGTAGCTGGCGCAGGAGAATTACATTTGGAAATTTGTTTAAAGGATTTAGAAGAAGATCATGCTCAAGTTCCAATCAAGACTGGTGATCCGGTAGTATCATATAGAGAAACTGTTCAAGCTGAGTCATCAATAACCGCCTTATCTAAATCACCGAATAAACATAACCGTATATTTATGAAAGCTTCTCCGTTACAAGAAGAGCTATCAAACGATATCGAAGCGGGTAAAGTTACTCCACGTGATGATTTCAAAGCACGTGCACGTATCCTCGCCGAAACGTATGGCTGGGATGTTACTGATGCTCGTAAGATCTGGTGTTTCGGACCTGATACCACTGGCCCAAATCTGTTAGTAGATACGACCAAGGGAGTTCAATACCTTAATGAAATTAAGGACTCTTGCATTGCTGCCTTTCAATGGGCCACAAAAGAAGGTGTTTGCGCTGAAGAAAATATGCGTTCCTGCCGTTTCAACGTTCTTGATGTAGTTTTGCATGCTGATGCTATACATCGTGGTGGTGGTCAAATCATTCCTACTTGTCGTCGTGTCATTTATGCTTCAGCTTTAACAGCCATCCCTGGTCTCTTGGAACCTGTTTTCCTTGTCGAAATCCAATGTCCTGAAGGTGCTATGGGTGGTATTTATGGTGTTTTGAATAGACGTCGTGGTCACGTCTTTGCTGAAGAACAACGTCCTGGTACTCCATTGTATAACATAAAAGCTTACTTACCTGTAAGTACTTAATTTGTAATTTATATCAACCTCTTTGTATGTCCTAATACTTATTTATATATATATATATTTTTTTTAAATCATAGGTAAATGAATCCTTCGGTTTTACTGCCGATCTTCGTTCAAATACAGGAGGACAAGCTTTCCCTCAAGCTGTATTCTCTCATTGGCAACTTATGAACGGAAATCCACTAGAAGCCGGTAAAGTAGCAGACATTGTTAAGGGAATAAGAAAGAGAAAAGGTCTCTCCGAAGAAGTATGTATTTTTTTATTTACTTTATATATGCATGATTTATCTATCAAATACTCTTACATTATTATTAATCATGCAATTTTTCCGAACTTATTAGATACCTAGCTTGGATAAATATCTTGATAAATTATAAATGTGTGATCCCGTAGAATCATAAAAAAAAAATTTCATGCAATTTGCAATTTAAATATATAAAAATTTATGATTAAATAAAATTAATAATATTAAAATATTTTTTTTTATTTAAGTCGAATAAAGATTTAATTTTCTAATCATCCTATAAGCTTTCAAGTGATTTTGTCAATGACATCTCATTTATTTTTGATTCAAATAAATCGAAAAGGCGGTGGCGGTAATAAAATCACCGATATTGTCTTGCGAAAAATTACGTATTGCTTATTGCAATAATTGGACTTTGGTTTTGGAATAATCCAAGCTAGTGGTGTCAACTGCACGTTAATGGTAGTGAGGTGGTGGGCATTGGTATCTATTGGCAAGTTGGTCAACTTTAAGGAAAATTCCATCTTAGCCGGTCATCATTAATTAGGTCCAAGTTTTTAATAAAAATAATCGAAGTATTCATTTAAAATTTTGCTTATATCCAGATTAATTCAAAAATTTCGGTTTATAAGAATCTGAGGTGACTTTTATTATGATATAATAATCTGATCAGAATTAGGAATTGAAGAATTAGTATAATACTGAAAATTGGATAACATTTAATTTTAACAATACTTTTACTAAACCTTTATATAAAATAAGTATAACTGTATTCTTTAACCTTATATTTTTATAGCTTCTGCAGTATTTAATATATTAAAGTCTTTTAAAGATAAACTATTGAAATTATTAAATGCTTTATTTCTGTTATTGATTTAGACTTTTTTTTTAATATTAACTTTAATTATTATATTTAATATAAGATATATAATTAAAATATATTATTTTGTTTTTATTTTTTTAATTATTTACCAAGCATTATTAAAATTACTTTATTTTCTTTTATAATTATTATGCTAAATTTATTGTATTTTTTGAATTTTATTATAAAATTACTAGTAATCTTTATTTTTAAATAAAATTTTTATATATAATTTCTAATAATATATTAATTAATATTATTTTAATTAATAGATTTTTAATTAATATAATATACTAAGTTTAATTGCTGATCTGCGGGTTAATCAGAGTATTTGATTATAATTTAATAGTAAATCTTATAGTTAATTAAACATATTAGAAATAAAATTTTTAAATCTCAATTTTTTTATTCATTAAATTCTAATATCAAAAATATAAAATACATCTTATTTTTATCAGTAATCTTATTTTAATGCTTTATTATAGTTTATATACTAGAAACTGTGAATTTTTTTAATCAAAAAATATCTAATGAAGAAAAATAAATAAACATAACTATAAGATTAATATGAGAGTTTGTCTAGAAATTAATAAGAAGAAATTTATTGTTCATGTTATTAATACAAATAATAATATTAAATTATG